TTATGGCTAATTATTGGCCAGTTTGGGGGAGATTTGTTATGTCCTTGGGGTTTTGTTTAGAGTGGGACGGAAAGCCGTGCCGCCGCTCCATTAACAGTCCGACTCCGTGCACTTACGTGTTACATTACGTTGTAAGTGACCAACAAAATTACGCCAAAGGCACCACAAATCCACATGTACACCCAGATTTTTTCCCGAAAATTCTTTTGGGTACGCATTTCGTCACTGCCAAATATGTGACTGCTAATCTGCAGACACGCGTTCAAGGTACCCTTATACCGAATTTCAGATTATTTGGTTGTAATATCAGGGCTCAGGATCTAAAAATCCATTTTTTGTGTCGAAAAATGTCCCCAAAAACCTTCATAAAAATTTTTCAAAAGCATGTATCAAAAAATTGAACAAAAAAAGTCTGGGGGTATTTGCCCACTCTACCTCCATGCCAAATGTCAAGTCATTTGGCTGACAAATGACAGAGTTGAATCCCTTTGACTGTATTTTTTTCATAGCATAGGGGTCAGAAAAAGAAGAGCAACTTTCGTGGCGCAAATCACGCATTGAGCCGAAAAATTTTGAAACTCGTAACCCCTTGAGACACTTTTTCTTGTTTACTGAGGAAAAGATTTTGTGAAGTTAAGGTTTTCCCTTTGCTATAGCTTCATTCTAAAGCTATATTTTTATTTTTGCAAGATTTATGAATGTTCTCCCTCCCAAAACACCCCTATGCTGGTTGAAAGACAGCATAGGGGCAAAACATCTAGCATAGGGGGTCAAAATTATAGCATAGGGGGCCCCTATGCTCAAAAGGCCTGGTTAGAACACTGGGGAAGTACAAGGACTTGAAGTCACATTTTAGACGACAAATTCTTAGAGAAACGCCATCTTGCGACTGGGAGTAGAAGACATATTTAGTTACTGATGATGATAGCTAAAGCCTCGGTCACAACCCGCCGTGCGTGCTTTTTTGTCCGCACGTTTTATTGGGAGGCCACGTCTGCTACGTTTTTCTGAAAACGTGGGGAAGGAGTGGGCGTCGACCCACGTCATTCGCACGGTTGCGCAAGGTGTAAGAATGTGGTCTGCACGCCACGTCTGGCCGTGAGCGGCTGCGTGCATCGTTCACTGCGCAAGTGGTAAGTGAGTTGTACGTGTTTACAACGTACGATCTCTGTGCGATTGCAACTTTACTGTAAGGCCGTACTCACACGTGCTTCTTCCGCACGGCACGTACGGGGCACGCGCGTCGCTCGTACTCGCACGCACGGGTGGTGAATCCGCAGACCGCACGTAGAAAAAGTTTTACATGCACTTAAAGTTCTACGGCGTGTCTGCGTGCTCCCAAATCCGTAGGATTCCGTACGGAGGTGGTACTCACCACGCACGGATGCCCTACGTTTGCCCGCGTTTTTGCACGTAGACAGCACGCAGAAGCACGTACGGCGGGTTGTGACCGTAGCTTTAGGTCTTAGTATACCTTAATATTCTATAATAGACATTTTTGCTTATATTTACAAAAAGCGGTTTTAGCCCCAGAAATCACATAAATGACGTCAAAAATTACACCAAAGTTGTCTCTGAAAATTTGGTGGCCCTATACTTTCCGGAACATCCTTTTGCTGATTTGAGACAAATTGTAAAATGATAAGCTTCACTCAGAGTTTCGTCATCAAAAGTGATCGTTTTGTATCTGATTAATCTTTTTGACTTCAATTATTCTACCGTGTCCTATCGATATCAGTAATTCTAAGGGATAGGGGTTGGAACTTGCGCTCGTTGAATTCCATCTATAAACCCCAATTAGTTTGTTTCGATTTTGTATATTTGTTTGTCTATGTAAACACTACATCTCTGTTTAATCATTTTGTGTAGATGGCGCCGTTAGTATAAGTTCCATGGAACTTGATTTCGACGCCATCTTGTTTGTATTTATGCTTTGTTTTTAATGAATGAATGAATGAATGAATGAAGACCTTTATTGTACATTTTGCCCCACTGGGCTAAAGACAGGTCACATATTGACAAAGTACATCATCAATGTTGATAATAAAACAGCTATAGTACACAAGTACTTTCAACTTCCTCTCGCTTTCTGGTAATCTTATAAATGTAGTTGGCTGTATGAGTAGTTAGAGCTGGTTTGTTAAAGACTACAAGGAATATAAATTTCTCTATACTATTCAAATACTTAAATTGGGAGTATTTGCTTGACACAAAATCGAAAAGAACGTTTCTTTCGCTGTCATACATGGAGCAATCCACAATAAAATGTACCTCGTCTTCTACTTTACCTAAACTACAATAATGGCAGATTCTTTGCTTTAATGAAAAACTCATTCTGTTGACAAATTATTACATGGCACAAAGGTATCAACATCAATTCATACAACGTTATTAACGTCAACAACTATATACTGCTTTACTTCGATACTTTCGCATACGTATAAGAACATAAGGCACATAAAGCATTAGCTTCATTATGTTAACGTTACCCAGATATGTTTATTGAATGAAATATTTTCAGACATTTTTCTATTTCTAAGTTCCGGAGTCATCAACGTACTTTCTGTTGTATATTTTCTACAAATTGTTCCATGGTAACGGCGATATCTGTGTTAGTTTCGTTTTCCCTTCAATATCTCCACCAACCTGAGGCCACAGCAAGTAATTTTTATGGATGACATCGGCGCGTGCATTAATTTTCGCCTGATTTTGGAAAAAAAACAAGAAATTTTGTTGCCTTCTGACAATGGTCCACATACCGGAAATGGGCAANGCACGTACGGCGGGTTGTGACCGTAGCTTTAGGTCTTAGTATACCTTAATATTCTATAATAGACATTTTTGCTTATATTTACAAAAAGCGGTTTTAGCCCCAGAAATCACATAAATGACGTCAAAAATTACACCAAAGTTGTCTCTGAAAATTTGGTGGCCCTATACTTTCAGGATCATCCTTTTGCAGATTTGAGACAAATTGTAAAATGATAAGCTTCACTCAGAATTTCGTCATCAAAAGTGGTCGTTTTGTATCTGATTAATCTTTTCGACTTCAATTATTCTACTCGTGTCCTATCGACATCAGTAATTCTAAGGGATAGGGGTTGGAACTTGCGCTCGTTGAATTCCATCTATAAACCCCCAATTAGTTTGTTTCGATTTTGTATATTTATTTGTCTATGTAAACACTACATCTCTGTTTAATCATTTTGTGTAGATGGCGCCGTTAGTATAAGTTCCATGGAACTTGATTTCGACGCCATCTTGTTTGTATTTATGCTTTTGTTTTTTAATGAATGAATAAATGAATGAATGAAGACCTTTATTGTACATTTTGCCCCACTGGGCTAAAGACAGGTCACATATTGACAAAGTACATCATCAATGTTGATAATAAAACAGCTATAGTACACAAGTACTTTCAACTTCCTCTCGCTTTCTGGTAATCTTATAAATGTAGTTGGCAGTATGAGTAGTTAGAGCTGGTTTGTTAAAGACTACAAGGAATATAAATTTCTCTATACTATTCAAATACTTAAATTGGGAGTATTTGCTTGACACAAAATCAAAAAGAACGTTTCTTTCGCTGTCATACATGGAGCAATCCACAATAAAATGTACCTCGTCTTCTACTTTACCTAAACTACAATAATGGCAGATTCTTTGCTTTAATGAAAAACTCATTCTGTTGACAAATTATTACATGGCACAAAGGTATCAACATCAATTCATACAACGATATTAACGTCAACAACTATATACTGCTTTACTTCGATACTTTCGCATACGTATAAGAACATAAGGCACATAAAGCATTAGCTTCATTATGTTAACGTTACCCAGATATGTTTATTGAATGAAATATTTTCAGACATTTTTCTATTTCTAAGTTCCGGAGTCATCAACGTACTTTCTGTTGTATATTTTCTACAAATTGTTCCATGGTAACGGCGATATCTGTGTTAGTTTCGTTTTCCCTTCAATATCTCCACCAACCTGAGGCCACAGCAAGTAATTTTTATGGATGACATCGGCGCGTGCATTAATTTTCGCCTGATTTTGGAGAAAAAAAACAATAAATTTTGTTGCCTTCTGACAATGGTCCACATACCGGAAATGGGCAAAGATGTTACCATGCTGGAAGGTGGATGGCGGATAACTATAAAGAGAGGAGACAAGAACATGCTCTGATTTAATGTTTTGTTTCCTACTTTGATGCAGTGATGTAAGATGTTGGCTGTGTATATGTGATGTTCCCTCTAAATCAAAACCATTTGTACAATGATTGAGTCAAAATTTTAAATGTAGGAACCTTGTTTTTTCGGCCCGCCTTGTATTTTTTCGCCCGCTCGCATTAGATTTGGAGTCTGTGGATGTCATCCATAAAATTTACTTGCTCTAAACCTTTAGGATGTTATTCCATAATTCAATTCAATTCAATTCAATTAATGACAACTGATAATTACTAATAACCACCCACCCCTCCATATTTCTTGTCTTTTAGTATTTTATACAACATGAATTATGAATCTTACATTTACAGTTCAAATCAGCCGTTGCATTCAAATGAAAGCAGAGAGGACAATGGTGATATAACAAAGGTACAGAATCTGATACGTTTCTCTTGGAGACGTTAATTAGTTTTCTGTTTTATCTTAAAACTGGAATTCCAATGGCCCATGTAAGGAAACCTATATTGGAGAGACTGAAAGATCTCTCAAGGCTAGGTTCTTAGAACACAAACGACCTAGCTCGACTACTTCGGAGGTCTCACGACATACACACATAGAATCACCTGGACATTCAGTCTCACTGGACAAAGTAAGAATTTTGGACTCAGAACCGGAATTCTTTGCACGTGGGATTAAAGAAGCCATCTACATCAGGGCATTACAACCATCCCTCAACAGAGACGGGGGGCGCCACAGACTTTCTGCAAACCTATGATCCACTGCTCACGGAGTCACATGTGTTATCTGCGTGACATCACGGAAGTCGTGGATTGCTCATTCCTTGACAAAGACTAAAGTTGTACAGTCGAAAATTTGGGTGAGTCCAAATTCTTGTGTTGGAAATTACAAGTTTAAACTTGCTACATTGTTTTCTGTTTGATGTGGTTTCCACCCCTCTTACAGATACCACATGCACACAAACAACACTTCCAGACAACCAACAATATCACGGCTATAACTGTCACAATCAGAGCCAGGACGTCCAACAGATAGTACTGGTAGAAGGGCAGTTCGACTGCCCTCGACTTGAGATGAGGGAGGCCGCCATGTTTGATCACGTGTTCTATCCACCATATTGCCCGCTCCATGGGTGACTGTGGTTGGTCACGACTGATGGTGGAGACGTACTTGGCTTTCTCCTTGAACCTGAAAAAATGATAGAATGTTTTTTATTCATCAAAACATGAAAACATAACAAGGACAGTGTGACGCTGCGCTCAAGTTTATAACTTATATTAACAGTGCCACACAACAAAAAAGTATAATTATTGTATTTAAAAATGCACAAAGTTGACGCCGTAGTCCCACCACACCAAGACATTAAAATATTAATGCTAACAAAGTTATTTAAAAAATAAGATTACGTGGTAACCTCCTATATCTCATTGGCGGAAACACATCCGCCAATCAGAGCTAGGAGGAGAATTTAGGCCCATTAACACATGTAGTATTTGGACTTCTATATCTAACTGACTGTTAGAAACAGTCAAGCAGAGCTAGAAGCGCTTGGTATCTCCAATGTAAACCTGAGTGAGTTGCATCGTTTTAAAGTTGTACATAGAGGGTAACATTGAGGAGCCTCTAAGAATAAAGTGCAGTTTAGCGTTATCTGACATATTATTAAGGTTGACAAGATGACCGAGTAAATCTGGAAGATTGCCAAAGAGTTCCGATCTCTGGATGATAGAAATATTATCAGCTTGATAATCAATCAATCAATGATTCATTGTGACGACTCTAAACCACCATACAGTGGCAGCTGAATTATAGTATGGCATTACAAAGAGAGCATATGTACACTTAATTTACACTAGAGGTCAGTATCTTCACCCTTCCAACTTGTCACTGTTGAAAGAATCCTCTAATAACTAACCATGCTTACTTGGGATCAGAAATAACTGTAGTGATGGTCTGGTAAACCTCCTCTGACGTGACGGCGTGGATGTCCAGAGTTACCGCCATCCCGCGGGCCACCACCCGGGCGATGTTGTCGTGTTGGTCCCCGAACAGAGGCATGCCGATCAGCGGTACCCCGTGGTACATGGCCTCTGATATGCCGTTATAACCACAGTGTGATACAAACGCCTTGGTCTTGGGATGAGCTGTTCGGATGAAGGAATGAAGGTTCGAAATTAGGGCCTTGTGAGAGACCAACTTGATGTTATGTTAACCATCCCCTAAGATATAGTAGCAGTCACTTACTCATTCACATTCTCTCACTCACACACACACTCTCTCTCTCTCTCACTCACTCACTAACTCACTCACTCCCCCATTCACTCACTCATTCACTCACTCACCCATTCGCTCTCACTAACTCACTCACTCATTCACTCTCTCACTCACTCACTCCCTCATTCACTCACCCCTTATTTACTCACTCATTCACTCACTCAAACACCCACTCCCTCATTCACTCACTCCCTCTGATATACCGTTATAACCACAGTGTGTTACAAAGGCCCTTGTCTTGGGATGAGCTGTTGGTATGAAGGAATGAAAGTTAGGGCCCTGTGAGGGATCAACTTGATGTTATATAAAATATTTTCACCATCCGCTAAAATATAGTAGCAGTCACTTACTCACTCACATGCTCTCACTCACTCACTCACTCACTTACTTACTCATTCACTCTCACCCAGTTCACACCCACCCAACCACTTACTTATTCACTCACTCAAATACCACTCACTAACTCACTCAAACACCCACTCCCTCATTCCCTCACTCACTCACACTCACCCAAGCCCTCATTCACTCAATCACCCAGCTCACACCCACCCACCCAACCACTCATTCACAATCACTCAAATTTCACTCACTCACTCAGTCACTCAC